TAGACTAGAGTGTCCTGAAGTACTGGAGTAGCTATGAATCCTTCCGGGACCTGAATTGGTCCAACATGTATAGTCTGAGCTGGAACCTCCGCTTCCAAATCCAGTAGAGGTTCTACAACAGGTGTTGTTGCTCGATCTCTAGACTGAGCTCCACCTCTACCTCTAGCTCTGGCATAACCTCGGCCTCTACCCCTGGTCATAGTTGCCATCGGGGGCGATGTATTACGTGTTCTCGCCATTTGCGACAGAATAAGAACATAATGGTTCAATCATCAATGATAGAATAAAAATCGCACGACAGAATAAGAATGAAGTAATATTGTTCCTAAACTTCATAGCCTCTCAGAGATAAGTGCAGACGTCTCCGTACCGATCTCTCAGACTCTGCTAAGCTTGCTCGTGACTCGTGAGACCAAAGTAACCTAGTACTCTGATACCAACTGTCACGACCCAAAATTCTCACCTTCGGGACCGTGATGACCCCTAATATTTTACTTGCTAGACAAGCCAACATTAGAATAATGTTTATCCATTTTTTAAAAAATAAATCAAATTAAACGGAAGTTAATTACTGAAATAAAGTGCGGAAGACCAACAACTGAATTATCCAAATACTTTCCCGAATCTGGTATCACAAGTGAACGAGCTACTAGAATAATACAAATAAAGGTCTGAATAAAAATTCAAGTTGTTTGAAAGATAATACACAGCTAAGATAAAGTAGAAGGGGACTTCAGAACTGCAGACGTTATGCAGTTATACCTCAAGTCTCCTTTGGGTAGCTGAATCCGAGCAAGTATATGGTACGCCGCTCGAACCAACTCCAAAATCTGCACAAGAAGTGCAGAGTGTAGTATAAGTACAACCGACCCCATATACTCCGTAAGTGTCGAGCCTAATCTCGACGAAATAGTGACGAGGCTATGACAAGACACATACATAAACAACTTGTACAAGTATATACAAATGCGAAGCAACAATGAACACAATAATTAACAATTTACAAATTTGAGAGGGAACATGCGAAGGGGAATGATATAAAAATCTCAGCAGGAGAAGTATCACGTAGCAGCCAATTAATTCATCAACAATAAAATAAGTAGTTGATAATATGAAAATGGCACGGCACCACCCTTCATTCTTTTACTCTCATTCTTTCCATGAAATGATAAATAAATAATATGAATGGCACGACATCACCTTTCATGCTTTTACACTCTTTCTCACCATGACAATAATAATATAATTAGTATAAATAGCACGGCATCACCCTTCGTGCTTTTACACTCTTCCTTACCATGAAAATGATAATATAAATTCGGAAGAGTATTTTAAATGCGTGGATCTATACTTATCAATCAATTTATTACCAGAATACCGACCTCACCTTCCAAAATATTCAACAATAATTAAATTATGAACAATTTCATGAAAAATGATTAAATAAATAATAATAAACTTAAGCAAGAATATCTTAATTAAATAGGTAATTATTCAAAATGAACAAATTCCACCAGCATGATTTGACTCAACCACAACGCATAAGTACTCGTCACCTCACATATACATTGTACTCGCACATTAAATTATGTAAAAAATAGACAAACAAGTTCTACTCCCTCAAATCAAGGTTAACCACGACACTTACCTCAATTTGTAAGCAACTCAAGATTTCAATAATCCTTTGCCTCGCGAACTAGTGTCCAAACGTCTCGAATCTAGTCACAATTAATTCGATTCAGTCAATACAAATCATAGGAATTTATTCCATATGAAAATACTAGTTTTCTAACAAAATCCAAAATTTAACTCAAACATTGCCCATGGGGACCACGTCTCGAAATCTGATAAAAGTTACAAAATATGAAAGCCCATTCAACCACGAGTCCAACCATATAATTTTTACCAAATTCCGACAACAACTCGACCATCAAATTCCCAAATCTTATTTTTAAATTCTTAGGCCAAAATCCTCGAATTTCACCTTAAAAATACGTAATCTAGTCGGAATAATCGATGATAATTTAATATTATTGACTAACAATGATCACAAGTGACTTACCTCAAGTTTTCCCGTGAATTCTCGCTCAAAAATCGCCTCAACTCGTGTTGGAAATGTCCAAAAATGAGAAAATCTCGGACCCCTCTGTTTTTGTACACTGACCAGAGGTTCTGCTTCTGCGGAATTTTTAACCGCATCTGCGGTTCCGCTGTTGCGGTGAAGCTTCCGCTTCTGCAGATAAGGAGTCCGCTTCTGCAATAAAGTGTCTGCTTCTGCGACGAGGCTGCCCATTCCCCTTTTCTGCTTATGCGTTGTGTGTTCCGCTTCTGCGAGGCATCGTCCGCTTCTGCGTACCTCACACTTCTGTGATGCAAGGCTCGCTTCTGCGAGCTAAATTCTGCAGGTGCGATTGCACCAGAAGGTCAAAATTTCCAACAACTATTTAAGTCCAAGTTTCGATGTGTTAACCATCTGAAACTCACCCGAGGCCCCCGGGACCTCAACCAAATATACCAACAAGTCCTAAAATATCTTACGAACTTAGTCAAAGCCTCAAATTACTTCAAACAACGCTAAAAATATAAATCATACCCCGATTCAAGCCTAATGAAACTAATAAATTTTAACTTCTATATTCGATGCCGAAACCTATCAAATCAAGTTTGATTGACCTCAAATTTTGCACACTAGTCATAAATGAAATAACGGACCTATGAAAATTTTTAGAATTGGATTCCAACCCCGATATCAATAAAAGTCAATTTGTGGTCAAACTTTAAAATCTTTAAGCCTTTAAGCTTCTAGTTTTCGTCAAATGGCGATAATTCAAGCTAGGGACTTCCGAATTTGATTTCGGGCATACGCCCAAGTCCCAAATCACGATACAAACTCTCTAGGATTGTCAAAACACCGATCCAGATCCGTTTGCTAAAAATATTGATCGAAATCAACTCAATTGAGTTTTAAAGCATTATTTCTCATTTTTATCAAATTTTCACATAAAAGCTTTCCGGAAAAATATACGGACTGCGCACGCAAGTCGAGCAATGCTAAATGGTGCTATTCGAGGTCTCAGAACACATAAATGAATATTAAATGTAAAGATAACTTATCGTGTCATCACAATTCAAAAAATATTATCTCTACCTTCGTAAGGTAGGATAAGGTCTGCGTACACCTCACCCTCCTCAAACTTCACTTTTACACTATTATTGTTGTTTTGTTGTTTATATTTTTACTATTTCCTTTTTTCGTAGCAAATTTAATACAAGTAGACTGTCCCACAAGAAATGTAAATGTTAAACATCATTCTCATTATAATATATTGTGTTATAATTATTGTAGTATAACGTATTCGTTAAATAAAGTTTTTTTAGACCGTTGAAACATTCTTGGTTGAAAACTATACGTGGTCCTAGACTCCGATTCAGGTATTAGTTTCAAATTCGTCTACTAGTAATGGTTGACTAGCTGCTAAAAAGGAATGTTTAATTACCCTTCGTAATAGTAGGTACGTGATGTAAATGGCTTTAGTCCGGTGATAGCGAAATCATTACTATTTTAATTACGCCAATATCAGCTTATCTTTTGTTATGGTTGTGTAATTTCATTCATGGGAAATCCAGAGAAGTGGCTGAAACATGGCTTTCATCCAATAGTACCGTTACGTCAAAAGTATTCTTATTTTTTTGTTATGGTTGTGTAATTTCTATCTCTTGGTCTTCGCTCAATTCCACATAAGATGATTCGATTTTTTTCTTTTCTTTTTCATCTATGATGAGACTTCATCCATCACTTTCAGGGAACGTTCCCCTCTCTTTCCTTTTTTGGCCTTATTGATAGCAGTAAAATGCCAAGAAAAGGGGTTTCTACTCGATCTAGTCAGTGATTAACCAAGTGGCTAAGTTAGCGTTTAGAAATAAATTTGGTTGAACCTTAAAAAAAATTAGAGTTAAGTTAAAAAATAATTTTGGAAAGTGACATGCATTTTACCCGGAAAAAAGTTAAAATTTTGTGAATGGTAGAAATTTTTTTATCTAAACAAGTGTTTGGAACTTGAAAATTTTTCTTCAAATTTATTCAAAAACTGATCAAATTCCATGAACAAATAATGTTTTCAAACTTTTTTTGAAACAAAGTAAAAAAGAAATCTACATACAAATGGGAGCTAAATAATATATGCACATAGTTGAGACTTCTATTAGGAGCACTATATATTTTCCAAATTGCGACTTCTTACTTACATATACATTACCTCCTCTTTCTCTTCAGGAAGCAAAAAAAAAAAAATAAGGAGCAGTTACGCATGGGTTAACACTTTAATCTGCCCCTACTTTGGATGTGCATTTTCGCTTTAAAAGTTGTTTAATTAGGGGGGGGGGCCAACAGAACAGGAAGGAACAGCAGAAGTCATATGCATATAAACAAGTGGAAAGAGTATAATCCTTAATTTAATTAAAGCTGGTTATTCCATTTAGCATCTAATCGCTGCTTCAACTTATTCCACAATAAAGGAAAAAAGAAAATTAGCCAAAAGCAAAAGTTCCTTTTAAGTCTTGATCGTTCTAAAGGAATCTGGACAAGTACTCTGTATACGCATACCACGTCCAATACTTCAAAAGACGCTTCAAAGTTTTTACTTTTAATTTCATCTTTGTTTCTCCACTAGCATTATTTTATGTTAGAGAAAAGAATCTAAAATCAATAGTTAGAGACTAATAAGATATTAATCATTTGACTGATTAATTAGTAAGTAATAGTTACAATTTCAAAATAGATCAAATAAGCAACTGTTGTACCTTTGGCCTACAAATTTTGCAAACACGTGTAGACTTAAATTAATGGGTAGAAATAAGAATCAAGCGACTAAGCATTTCACTGAATTTACAAAATAGCATGAAAACTCAAATAAGACTATAATTTGCTAAAGGATCTTCACAAGAAATTACTGCATTGCAATAACGGTATACATCACAGATTGGACTAAAACCAGAGCATGTATCAAGTACTAAACGCAATTTTTTCTTAATAACCAGAATCAAAAGTATACTCAATCCATAATCTGCTTTGCATTGCAGTACAAAATGGTGAACATGAGCATAAGCTGATAATAGGACTTGCAACGGAAGAAATATACTAATACTAGAGTTATAACTAGCTATAACTATGTATTAACACTTGATTAGCTATATGAATTTCCCAGTAGCTTTCACTTGCCAGATCAGCATTGGAGCAAAAGAACTATGTAGCACTCTGCATACAAATTTTGGAAGAAAATGTCAGTTTTAAAAACAAATTGGAGACAGGTCGAATCACAAAAATTGAATTCAATTTATATAAGTGAACACTAAAAAAGGACTGGTATCCACTGGTACCTAAGAGCTAGCTTGCTGCTCAGCATCATCTTGCACCTCAGAATCCTCAGATTTTGCTGCTTCCCCAGTAACAGTCTGCCACAATTAAGCAATTGAGAACCAACAGTAAAATTGCTCCGTTAGTGTCATATAGTTAGTTCAACACCAAGTGGATACTCATTCGCATCAACTATCACAGAAACAGAGAGATATTGTTTTAAATGAATATGAGTAACACAACCTTGTTGTTATGCTCTTCCTTTGATTTCTCATACTCAGCCTTCAGCTTAGCAGCTTTTCCCACATAGGGAGCTTTCTCCTAAGGACAATAAATAAAGATAATCAGGAACCACAAAATCTTCTCCAAAAAAAAAAAAAAAATTAGATGCAAATTTGCCATAACCACAGAGAAAATCATTAGACAACAGTAATGTATATTGAGATTTATCTCTCAAGTTTGTGCATGAAATCTGGTCTTACAGATTCAGACATTGCCTTCCATTTCTCACCGCCAGCTTTCCCGACCTTAAATGAATACAAATACGAATGAGTAAGAAAATTGTTCATAGAAGACATATATGACTGAAGATGCATAGAAATTATAATGAACTCTTAATAGAAAATTGAAGCAACAACACAGCACACTCTTAGTAGAGCAATAGGAACGAAATAACATCAGAAACATTGATTTGAATCTAAAATGCAATAAACAGAGTCATCTTACCACAGCAACAGATTTATTATCAGGAAAATTCTCCTTGTAGCTCTTGCGAAAATCAGCCCTGTTTCATAGTTCAGTATCATGACAGAACATAATTCAGTACCAAACTGAAGGTTACAAATAAAAAACAAGTGAAATTGCTACTAAAAACGTTGAAACTTCAGTGCGAAAGGAGATATATACTGAGTATAAAACTACAGCAAAAAAATCTCACATAAAAATGAAGAATGCAGTAGGAGGACGCTTTGGAGCTCCAGCGGTTTTGATTGCTTTCTCCTTCTTTTTCAAGTCCGCTTCAGCCTTGCGTTTCTTCATTGTCCTGTTTTCAAATATTGCAGAGCAGATTCAGAAACTAAAACACGAGAGGCTCACAGTTCAAAAGCATACCGTAAAAAAATGAGAGAGAGAGAGAGAGAGAGAGAGAGAGAGAGAACAAAATGCTTCAAATTAAAAGCTTCGAGACACGAAATAGACTGAAAATAAACGAAATGGAGAGTATACTCAGTGTCGAGCTTCTTGTGAGCAACGGAAGCAATCTTAGTTCCCTTCATAGTTTCCTCTTAGTTGAAATTGCAGAGAATGGGAGATAGTTTGAACTTTCAAAATCAGAGATTGGAAAAAGCAGAAGAGCTCTGAGAACGTGATCAGAAGTGTGAGTGAATAATGGGATGGGGAAGTCCTGGGTTGTTATTTATAGCCTATAGGGAGTGGAGAGGAAGGCCAATTCGAAAAAATAATTCCTTCGTCCTTTTTGGCGGGAAGATGAATGCTGAAAAAACGTGAACGAGTTGCAGTCTGCAGAGTGAGAAGGTTACTCGAGCGTTTAGGATTTGTATTTTTACTCGCTGTAAATTAGTTAACACGTGTGTAAATACGCAACGGTGAAAATTACTCTATTCTATAGCGAGTGGTCTTTGGTGGCACTGAGGAATCGTGATCAGGAAGTTTCATAATTCTGGGCTCAAAAGCCTACCCTCCTTATTGGACTATTTCCTTTTGCCTGGGCCTTTGCCGACCTCAATACTTACTAGGCCCATACTTCGATCTTCAAGTTAAAATAGCACGGGCTAGCCAGTTTTCGAACTGTTAATTGAAAAATAATCAGCGTTTGCAAAGTTATTAAAAAATAATCACTATTTTGCTGCAACACGGAAAGTTCCAGCATAATATACTGGAGATTGGAGCACGTGTGTATGAACTTCCAGCACACGAAAAATTCCAACATGATATACTGGAGATTGGAGCACCTGTGTATGAACTTCCAACATATTATGCTGGAATTCCAGCATATTATGAAATTTCACATGTAAAAAATTCGAACTTCAGCATATAATGCTGGAATATTTTTCGGATTTTGAATAGTGTTTTTATTTAGATTTATCTTTACATGAAAAGTGGCTAAATTTTAATTACTTTTGAAATTATGGCTATTTTTCAATTACCACTTGTAAATCTGGCTATTTTTGAATTTCACCCAATCTTCAATGCTCCTAGGCCCACCCAACTCGGTTGATCAATGCACATGAACTAGGGGTGTTTTTGTCGGTCAGGTCGATATGATTTTTTTATATTTCGGTTCCGTAATTTGGCACTCATTTCTAAAATGCTATACTAATATCATATCTAATTAAATTCAGTATAGTTTAATTTTTTTCCTTTCAATTAGGGTTTATTAGATTGGTAATTTTAGTTTATCGGTATGGATTAAAAAAATCGTATCTTTCTTTTTTGTTTAAGATGTAAGGAGAAATTTTGGACTAACATTAAATCAAAGAAAATGCCATCTAAAACTTTCAATTTTCCACAGAGTGAGTTAGAGCCTTAGAGGAAAAGCATGTGTGATTATGTATACAACAACAACAATAACAAACCTAGTGTAATCTCACATGTGGGGTATGAAAAGGGTAGTATATGTGTAGACCTTACCTCTACCTTGTGAAGGTAGAAAGGTTGTTTTCGATAGACATCCGGCTCAAAGAATAGTGAAAATAAAGTAACAAATGGTAGCAACAACAATGGAATAGAAGCAAATGGCACAATATGTAATACTAAAGAACGAGGAATAAAAAAAATACCAAAAATAGTACTAGTACTACTGGTAAGACTGAGAGGCACTAACGAGTACATGTCAACCTTCTACCTTTCTCGATCTCCACCCTTTCATATCGAGGGTCATGTCCTCGGTAAGATGGAGCAATAATATGTCCTGCCTAATAACCTCACTCCAGTATTTCTTTGGCCTACCCATACCCTTCCTTATACACGATATGGGCAACCTCTCACATCTCCTATCCGGGATATTTATGTCTCTCCTCTACACGTGCCCGAGTCATCACAGCTTTGATTCCCGCAATTTGTCCTCCACCGAGGCAACACTTCAACACCTACTTTTTCCCTAATAATTGTGTTCCTAATCTTGTCTTTTTCGGTATATCTATACATGTATCTCAATATCCTCATTTCATCTGCCATGTGTCTTCTCAACATCCTCGATTATGTATGAACTTTTGAAATAGACTACCATAGCTCTGAAATCAATATAGGAATCTGAAGAGCAATGCAAAATAAAATAAAGCTTCCTCAAGTGATAATGATCAGACTTGGATTAGATCTTTTATAGAAAATAAAAACTCAAAGATAATTTAAAATTTAATTTTAGTTTCTCATCTCCATATTGATTCATTTGGGATTCTTCAAGCACTAACATGAGAATTTCACTAAGAATAAAGGAAGTAAAAGGCCTTGTATATCTATGTTATCTATACTATATTAAAATTACGAAAGCCCTTAGCAAAATGTTGTTCACCTTTTTTGCCCCTTAAAAATAGTTTTCACATTGGACAAGATTGTAATTAATTATTTTTCTAATATTTAGAATTTTAAAATAAAATAAAAAAATATTAAATTTTTACTTATTTGATCTATGTAGAACTCCTACTAATATTTAAGAGTTTGAGATTGAGTAAGATTTTACCTCAAAATTTTCTATAAATTAGGCCAAGTAATAACACCTCACTTTTAAGTTCCTTTCACGTTAAGTTATGGATTCCAACAAGAAAATAGGACCGAAATCTATAGTTATTTCTTTAAAGAAATAATTTTATAAGGTAAAATTTTAATGAACTTTAAAATTCTAAATATTATGAATTTCTACCTAATTAAAATAAGAAAAGATTTAATAATTTTTAAATTTAATTTTAAAGTTACAAATATTAGAAAATATCTAAATGTGAAATTAATTTATAAAGAGTAAAAAAGATGAACGATATTTTGCTAAAAATAAAAAATTTAAAATAAAATAATATTATTTAAAATATGTGTTTGCATTATAATATAAAACTTAACGAAATTTGCAAGTTCTAAAATGATAGATGTGTTAATCATGAATAATGTAAAAACTCAAACATTTAGGTACTTAAATTAGATCATAAAAAATATCTAACTAAATTTAACTTTAGGTAAACTAATATTAATTAAAACTTCAAAGGGTAAAAGGAACTTTCCAAGTTATAAATGCTTGGATAAAATTATTGCTAAATTTAAATATTTAAAGCTTAGATGAGCTAATATGAATTTGAGTCAACAAAATAATTATTTCCTTTAAGGTTGAGAGAAAATAATTAATGTCTAAATTAATTAACTAATTAGCAATCAAAAGTATCCAATTCAATTTCTTTCCAAATTAATTATATAAGTAAAAAATATTTTTCAAGTTGAAAAACTACTAGGCTACATAAAATTGTTTTTATAAGAAGAGCATTGGTAGTTAACGATATAAAAAAAAAAAAAAGCAAAATAGTTACTATAGTATTAAAGTCAAATTGGTAAAAATATAAACTTAAATCAATAATAATAAAAAAGTAGTAGATAAAATGCATTCTAAAATGGATGAATTGGTACTAATTTTTTGTTTCTTTTCACATTCATTTCAATACATGATAGCTCCCTATATTTTTTTATATTGAATTATTTTGGTAAAATATTAATGCAACATTAGTAATTATTTTCAAATCTCTAAAATACCAAACGATTTAACTTTTTAATTTATTTTATTTGAAAATATTTTTGTGATTTATTTGTTTTCAGTATTAGGTAAAAGAAAATAAGTCTAAAATAATCATAAGGCGTTTAAGGACTTTTGTAGAGCAAGTTTTTTTCCATTGAGTTAGCTAAATGAGATTAACATTCATTATTTTTAAAATTGTGTACCCCTTAATATAAATACACGTACAAAGCGCGTATCCTAAGACTAGTAATCTAAAATATGTGTAATGTAAGTTAGTAAGTATTTTGATATGGTATTGGTAATTTAGTATATTTTTTTCAAATACCAAACGTTAATGAAATTTATACCAAATACTAAATACCAAATATCAAAATTTTCTATTTCAGTTTGATAATTTGGTATTTACCAATTTATGCACGCGAGGAACTTGATCAAGTTACTGTCAGAGTGGATGTTAGCTCGGGGACTGAGAGGGAGATTATTAGAACTACTTATACCTCTCCTTAATGAGGTACAAGATTCGATTTTCATTTGATCTTTCCTTTTGTCTTCCACTTATTATAGGTGCTGACAAAAAATTGAAAATGAGAATTCTTTTCGTTTTAAAATGTTTGGCATAATTCTTTCCTTTTTCATCTAATTCAAATAATATTGATGTCTCTAGATACTTACAAGTTAGTTTATTTTTACTTCCTCATATTACTATACTTGTTTGGCTCCTTTAACTACAAAAACAAATTGTTTAGTATAATAATACTTTTGGTATTCTTTATTAAACTTTGTATCAAATTGAGCTTGCCTAACAACCTGGAATAGAGGAAGTACTTTTCAGTTCATCCATTTGCGAGGCTGTGACATAATTGTGCCCATATTTCTTTCTTTATGTCCCACAATTTTGTCTATATCTACTACTAAGGAAGGAGTTGTTTGATTATTATAAGAAAAAATTCAGTAACTTTAGTGAGATAAATAAAAAGTTGAGTGATCATCCATAAAATTATGTCTTTTTTAAAATCATTTTTCTTTAGATTAAGACTTTCTTCATATGGAGTGTTATGAATTAAAGAATATTTTAGCTCGCTTGTTAATATGACCCATTTGGTCGTGTGATGACAAGGATGATGGATTTTAACTAACTTAAAAACTATTCCTTTTCTATTTTCCTATAGAAGAAAAGGCCTCCACATTTTGGGTGTGTTTGGCATTAAGGAAAATATTTTTCTAGAAAATATTTTCATGTAAAATGAGTAGTTTTATAACTTATTTTTTCTTTTTTAGTTAGTTAGTGAAAAAAAAATTTCGAAAAATATTTTTTAGTGTTTGGTTAGAGAGTAGAATATTTTTTTTATACTACTCTCTNCCCCCCCTCCCAAGTCCCTATGTTTCCTTGCTCCCCCCTCCCAAATATCCAACGTTTTCAGGACTCTATTTTCTTTAAGAATTTAATTATTTTTCTAAAAATTCACTCAAACCCAAAGGAACTAATGTGCTGCTTTACTTTTTTACGCAAAAATAACGTTGAAATTTGTGCTCCATAACTAAAAAAAAATACTCTTTTTTTGGTTGAAAAAGAAAGTACTCTTTCTACAACATGAAAATAAAGTACTTATTTTATTGAAATAAAAAAAAAATATTTTTTCTACTTAATGAAAAGAAAATACTCATTTTGTTGAAA